TCAGGACCCTCCATCCTGTACTGGAGCTCTGATTTGATTCCTGGCTACTCTGCTTCAATCCAACTCCCTGCTAATGCTCCTGGGAAGCAGTAGATGACAGTTCACATACTTGAGTTCCTGTCACCCATGTGGGAGACTCAGATGGAGTTCTGAGCCCTAGCTTTCACCTGGCCCAGCCCTGGCTGTTGTGGGCTGCTCCACTTCCAATCCAGCTCCCTGCTAAAGGCCTGGGAAAGCAATGGAAGATGGCCGAAGTGCTTGGGCCCCTGCACCCATGTGGGAGACCTGGAAAAAGCTCCTGGCTCCTGGCTTCAGATCAGCCCAGCTCCAGCCGTTGCAGCCATTTGGGGAGTAAATCAAATGGAAGACCTCTCTGTGTATCTCTATCTCTGTCTATAACTCTGCATCTCAAATAAATAAATCTTTTTTTTAAAAAAAAGGGAAGGAAAACATCATTTATTAGCTTACAGTTCTACAGATCAGCAGTCCAGGCAGGCACACATGGGTTCTCTACTTAGGATTCGAAAGGCTGAAATCACAGTGCTGTTTATTCTGGGCTCTTATTTACAAGCTATGGGGAAGAATCCACTTCCAGGCTCGTTCAGGTTCTCGGCAGAATTTAGTTCCATGCAGCTGTTGGTCTGAGGTCCCTGTTTCCTTGCTGGCTGTCACAGAGGTCACTCTCAGCTCCTAGAGGCCACGGTTCGATCCTTACACACAGCCACACTCATCTTGAAGCCAGCAACAGGAAGTCAAATCTTTCTTGTGCTTTCAGTCTCTGACTTTCCTTTTCTGCCACCAGTCAGAGAAAACTCTGCTTATGATTGAATTAGTCCCACCTGGCCATTCTCCCTATCTTAAGGTCATCTGCACCACACGAGGTGACAAAATCACAGGAGTGATAGCATATTCACAGGCTCTATCATCTTCATCTTTGGAGAAGAGACATTTTTGGGGCCATTAAAAAATTCTGCCTCTGGGGTCAGCATTGTGGGGTAGTGGGTGAAGCTGCCACCTGTGACATTGGCATCCCATGTGTGCACCAGTTCACGTCCCTGCTGTTCCACTTCCAATCCAGCTCCCTGCTAATGGCTTGGGAAAAGCAGCAGAAGATGGCCCAAGTGCTTGAGCCCCTGCCACCCACATGGGAGACCTGGATGAAACCCCTGGTCTAGCCCTGGCCTGTCTCTCCCTCTCTCTCTGTAAACTGTCTTTCAAACAAATAAATAAATATTTTTTAAAATTCTGTCTCAGTACTAAATAAATACAAATAGTATATATCAATTAAAAAGAAAAAAGAAAACAAAATTACTGATAGCCAGAACGAAATTGGGACTATCACTAGAGATCCTACATTCAGAGGATAAGAAGAGTATATTATAATCAACTTCATGCAAATAAATTCTAAAAATTCTTACATAAAAAAATCCCGCCCTCTGGCCCCAAATGATTTATTTCTCTCCTAAATGAAAACTACATTCGCCCTCTACCAAATTTCCCAAGGGCCTCATCCCAGTACTGCTTCAACTCATATGAAAACCTCATAGCTCAAAAGTCCAAAATCTCAGCACCAAATCATTTAGATCAGGGCTGGGTGAGACTCTTGGCACAATTCTTTTCCATCTGTGGACGTATGAAACTAAAGAGACAAGTTATCTATCTCCAACACGTAATAATGGAATAGGCACAGGATAAGAACTATAGCCATTCCAGTTCAAAGAGGAGAAAAATGAAGGGTGACAAGCAGTCACAGATCAGCTTTAAAATCTACAGTTAAGGGGGCCAACATTGTGGTGCAGTGGGTTAAGCCGTCACTTGCGACATTCTGATAGCATCTCCTTTCAGAATGACAGTTGGAGTCCTGGCTGCTCCACTTCTGATCTAGCTCCCTGCTAATGCACTTGGAAGAGCAGCAGAAGATGGCCCTAGTGCTTGGGCCCCTTCCGTCCATGTGGGAGACTGGGATGGAGCTCCTGGCTCCTGGCTTCGGACTGGCCCAGCCCTGGCTGCTGTGGGCATCTGGGATGTGAACCAGCAGATGGAAAATGTCTTGTCTTTCTCTCTCCCTCTCTGTCAGTATAGTCAGTATACCTTTCAAATAATATATATATATTCAAATAATTCAAATATATATTCAAATAATTCAAATACATATTCAAACAATTCAAATACATATTCAAATTTTATATATATAAATATATATTTAAAAATTTATATATATATATAAGTATATATATATAAAACTAGCTAAGAAACTCCCTCGGGTTTTATAACTTGGAAATGATCCTAAGTGGCTCTCTGTTCTGCCCTCTAATCTCCTGGTTCTGCTCTCTGGGCTATCAGTTCCTCCCTCTGACTCCCTCTGAGTCCTCCTTTCACATGAAAGTTACAATGTGTTTATAGCTGAGTGGTTTTATCAACCTTCTTCCTTCCAGAAAAATCCTAGGGATTAGACAGTATCCTTTCACTTCAAACTGTTACTTTCAGTCCAAGCTGGCAGAATTTCTGCTGATAGAAATTTCTCAGGAACGTTGCAGGCTCTGAGCGACGGTCCTGGAAATTCACTCTATTCAACAAAAGCCATGTTCACAGATCTGGTTGAGCTCACCCCTTCTTTGTCTTTGGGCCCTGCTGAGACAGCTAAGGGACACCCTTAGACTTCTAGGAAGCTAGTTTGAATAAGATGATCTCTGAGGCACATCCTCAACTTTTTTTTGAAAGCAGTGTCCCAATTTTTAGCATCTTCAGCAAGCTGGATATGCTGTTACCCAACTCCTTTATGTTTCAAATTTTCCTCCCCAACTTGTCTCTCTCTCCTCGCATTTTATTATAATTGGCAAGAAGACTACACCTTCAACATTTTGCATGGAAGCCAGTTTAGCTAAATATCCAAGTTTATTGCTTTCACATTCTACCTTCCCCATGACAGCAGGACACAATTTTGCTAAGCTCTCTGCCAAAACGTCACGAGGATTTCCCTTGCTCCAGTTTCCACTAACATATACCTCACTTCTTCCTGAGCCCTCACCAGCAGTGTTCCCAACAGCCGTATTTCTGTTCACGTGCTCTTCAAGGCAATTTAGCCTTTCTGTATGATGTCCTACAAAATTCCCTTCCAATTTGGCTTCAAAGACCTAGTCCCCATTTTTAAGTGTGTGTTAAAGCAGGATCCTTTCGCTTCAAATTCTGTCACTCTCAGTCTAAGCTGGCAGTATTTCTGTGTATAGAAATTTCTCAAGAACCTTGAGAAAGTAGTACCCTACTTTCATATTTGTTTTCTTCTTGCACAACCAACTACCACAAGCTTAACGTATCCTAGCCTGGGTTCTGTGTTTTGGCATTTCTCTTATCTGGCTTTCTCTTTCTGAGGGTTATTTTGTCTGTACCTCATCTAAACCTTCTATGCCCCATTATGTAGTTTTTTTCATAGAGTCTCTCAAGTCTCCCCTCCTTTGTACCCTGCACCCAGTTTTGCAGTAGGAGGCAGATGGTGGAAAATCTACTGGGATTTAGTTGATGTCTCTGCTTACAGGTAATTGGAACATCATCATATTCTCCCTTAACAAGTACTGCTGAAGGCCTGGGTCACGTGTTGCTTTATTGGTGAGCTTTATTGGAAGGGAGGGAAGTAGAGAGAGTTAAAATGAGGCAGTAGGGCCATTGTCCTCCAAACTCACAAGGCTAGTTCTTCACAGTGGTATAGATTACCAACTCTGAAGGTACTTTCTACATATTCTAGGACTGGGCAGATACATGTTAGTGACCCAGATTTTTTACTGTCAGAAAAAGAGTTACAAATATGGAAAGGGAGATGACTAGAATGAACCTGTGGTGTTAGATTGGCATTTGAGCTGTCAATATGAACTCATGGTGCCATATCTATATGTACATATGGATTTAAAGAGAGAAATGTAGAAATAAAAATTCATTTTCTTTTTTTATTTTTTATTTATTTTTATTTTTTTATTTTTTGACAGGCAGAGTGGACAGTGAGAGAGAGAGACAGAGAGAGAAAGGTCTTCCTTTGCCATTGGTTCACCCTCCAATGGCCGCCGTGGTCGGCGTGCTGCGCTGATCCGATGGCAGGAGCCAGGTGCTTTTTCCTGGTCTCCCATGGGGTGCAGGGCCCAAGCACCTGGGCCATCCTCCACTGCACTCCCTGGCCACAGCAGAGAGCTGGCCTGGAAGAGGGGCAACCGGGACAGAATCTGGCGCCCCGACCGGGACTAGAACCCAGTGTGCCGGCGCCGCAAGGCGGAGGATTAGCCTAGTGAGCCGCGGCGCCGGCCCAATAAAGTAATTTTAAAAAAGAAATGAGGCCGGTTGCCCCTCTTCCAGGCCAGCTCTCTGCTGTGGCCAGGGAGTGCAGTGGAGGATGGCCCAGGTGCTTGGGCCCTGCACCCCATGGGAGACCAGAAAAAAGCACCTGGCTCCTGCCATCGGATCAGCGCGGTGCGCCGGCCGCAGCGCGGCGGCTGTGGCGGCCATTGGAGGGTGAACCAACGGCAAAGGAAGACCTTTCTCTCTCTGTCTCTCTCACTGTCCACTCTGCCTGTCAAAAAAAAAAATTACTTTATTTATTTGAAAGGCAGAGTGACAGAGAGGTCTTCCATCCATTGGTTCACTCCCCAAATGGCTACATAGGCTAGGGCTGGGCCAATCTGAAGCCAGGGACCCAGAACTCCATCCAGGTCTCCCACATGGGTGGTAGGGACGTAAGCACCTGGGCCATCCTCTGCTAGGCACATCAGCAGGGAGCTGAATTGGAAGCGGAGCAGCCAGGACTTGAACTGGCACTTATATGGGATGCCTGTGCCACGGGTGGTGGCTTTGCTTGCTGTGCCACCATGCCCCCGGCCCCTCAACACACTTTCAAGAAGGAGAGAGTTAAAGGAGGTGGCCTGAAATTCATTCAGTCCTTTTACAAGGGAGATAGCCCTGGTGGAAAGAAAATAATGTATATTTATAGTGATTACTGATGTATTAGTATTGATTTCCACTACCTTAATTTATGCCTTCTGTTTCCCATTCTTCCCTCCCTCCCAATTTCATGCTTATGGACTGACTGCATTTTATCCCTGTCCTCAGCTTGCAAGTCAGATAATCCATGTGCACGCTTATCATTGTTTCTTCTACATTTTTAAAATACTTGGTTTGAAGTCTGAAGTAAATCTATAGCTTTACTGTCCTTCTGACGAATGCATGGGCCTTAAAATCCTCTCCTTCTAATCTTACATGTTATTGCGAGTATTTTAACTCTGCCTTGTTTTTAATACACCCAAATGAATCATTACTGTTGTTGTTTTCATGGTTAATGCCTTTTTGGATTTATCTGCGTGTTGGCCAACTTCTTTCCCACTTGTTTACCAGTTTATTTGCTCAACATTGCTTCTTGCATCCTCCACAGTCCTTCAGGATTCCAAATATTTCCTTTTAAAGTGAAGCCTCCAGAGGTCCTCGGGGTGACAGTCTGGGAGTGATAAGCTGCTTCAGTCAGTGTCTGAAAATGTCTTTATTTGGCCCTTTTTTGAATACAAAATTTAGTCCCCTGGTGTGGCAGCTATGAAAATATGCCACTCAGATCTCTTGCTACAGGAAGCACAATTGACAGATGGCCTCAGCTGCTGCTCTCTGAATCTCCCACCGCGTTAGCATGGAGACCACACTTCACGCAGGCTGCTCTCAGGCAGTGACTACACCTGGCAGAGATAATAAGGCGGGGCCCATTCCTGCAAGGCATTTGGCCCCTTCAACAGGCTGCTTCGACTTGAGGACAGCCCATCGGCCTGGCTGAATCTTAGACCCACACTGCAGTCTTAGCATCTGCCTATGCAACCCTCCTTTCCCAGGTGTGAGACCTGCAGTGTGTTCGGAAGGCTCTTCCATCTCCTGGGGCTCCCTTCCCTTTTCCCTCCTAATCATTTGCCCCATCAGCCCTTGCACAACCAATTCCATCTTGGTTTCTGCTTCTCAGAGAACCTGGACTAACACACATGGTTCGTAAATTCCATACATATAAAGTGTATACAGTAATAGAAGTCGCAATCCCACTTTTGTCCACACCTATTGATTCCACCTCCACCATATCCAGATAGGTGCACTATTTTTTATAGATTCATTTTTTGTGTACCCTTTGAGTTTGTTATGGAGATATAATATGAATGCATCATCTCATTTTCCTCTTTCTTATACAAAAATCAGTGAACTATAAACATCACTCTGTGACTTGTGTATTTTAGCTTCCAGGTCTGTTAAACTTGTTGAAATATTGTTCATATGTCACTGTATGTCACAGCATCCTGGAAAATTTCCCTGAACTCTATTTTACAGTATATTTCTTCTCTTTGTAGCTGTTTCTAATGTGCTTTTTAATGCATCCACTGAACTGCTTTTTAGTGATTATATTTTTATTACTTTTATATTTTTTGATTGTCATAACTGTACATATTTATGGAATACAATGTGATGGTTTGGTTCATGCATATATTAAATGATCAAACTGGGTAATTAGCATATGTGTAACTTTAAAAATGTTATAATTTCTTTATGGTGAGCACACTGAAAATCCACTCTTCCAGCTATACTATCACCTCTTCCCAGGTTAGAAGGGCTATTACCAGGGCCAGTGCTGTGGTGGAACTGGTTAAAGCCCCAACCTGCAGCACCAGCATCCCATAAGGGCTCCAGTTTGAGTCCCAGTTGCTCCACTTCTGATCCAGCTCCCTGATCATGTGCCTGGGAAAGCAGCAGAGGATGGCTCAAATCCTTGGACCCTTGTACCCATGTGGGAGACCCAGAAGAAACTCCTGGCTTCAGATCAGCTCAGCTCTGGCCATAGTGGCCATTTGGAGAGTAAACCAGCGGATGGAAGACCTCTCTCTGTAACTCATTCAAATAAATAAAATAATTTCTTAAAGGCTATTGCCAAAAAGACAAAGAGAAAACCTGGCAAAGATGTGGAGAAAGGGGAACCTGTCATACATTGTTTGTCAGAATATAAATTAATATAGCCATTATGGAAGAGTATGGCAAGCCCTCAAAAGTTGAAAACAGAACTACTGTACAATCCAGCAATCGCACTATGAGGGTACTTTAAGGAGTTTGTAGGAAAGTGGAATTAAAAGATGTTCATCTGGGTGCAAGAAAACTTGAAATCCATATTTTTTTATTTGCATTTTCCATGAACTTTTTGACGACCTCCTGTGTACCCAAAGGAAATGAAATCACTATGTCAAGGAGAGGCTTGCACTCCCAGGCCTGTGCTTTTTTAAAACTATGGTTACTTTTTCATAATTTATGATTTTTCCAAATTGTGTCCTTTTGTTAGCATTTCAATCCGTCTTTCAGATGGCTAATTGTCTAAAATATACTGGTTTTATATTCTCTTTCAAATTTTGTCCAATTATTTTTGGTTTTGATACAGCGAAACGAGGCAGGGAGTTAGGGGTCTGTGAGCTCAAATTTTTTTTTTTTAAGTTTTAAGCTTTTTATTCAGTGAGAGGAATACACAGGAGAGTGAGGGCTTTATTTAGGGGAGAAAGAGAGGTCTAGAAGCTAAGTTGGATCCATGCCAAGCAGAGAACAGGCCAGGAGCCACGTGGAACAAGCATGCAGGCAGGAGAGCAGAGAGCCACCATGTGCCTGTGGGGGCAACAAGGGCAACAAGGGAAGGGCCCACCATGTTCCAGGCCTTTTATTTACTGCCCAAGAGGGAGGGGTTACATAGTCTGATAGGCAGGTGGGTGTACAGGTGGGGTCAGGTAGGGGCATGAGATCACACAGGGGGCATGGTCTTCCAGCTCACAAACCTAATCAAGTTTATCCTATCTGCCTGCCCATGTTATTGCCCTCTCAGAGACTCCAGACCTTATTCTTAAGGGATGATGAAGGATGTAGAATTATCATATATTCTACAGCTGCTTCCTGTTTATGAGGGGCATAGCACAGTCCTGGGTCTGGAAGTCTCTACCTATGTCATCTAACAAATTCACTTTATGAGCTGGAGTAGTCTCAGTCACCACCAGGGGCTGTGTCCCCTGCACAGTCAGTTATTCTCAGAATTTGCTGAGCTCTGAAACATATAAGTTTGTCAATCAGCATAAGCAAAACTGGAACAAAGCCAACTGCGAATGGGGTGCTCTTCAGATGAAAAGAACGTATCTCACCATCTCCCAGATAGTGGATAGCGATAAGCAACTCTTATGTAGATTATAAAATTGTTTAGCTTGAGTGTAGAGAATGATTCTAGAAGAACCTGTTAAGTTTTTTGTCAATAACAGTTCCCAGAGAGAATCAAAAGAGGCAGGTACAGCATGTCTGCCTTGAGGTGCAGCAGTCTTGATGTGATGAAAGCAAAAGCTTAATTATCTTTTTTTTGCCTTTGAAGAGGTGCTTAAGGTCTCGATTGGCTTACAGGAATAATCAGGTATGTCTTTTGAGTTCACCTGTGGAGACTCAGGGGGTAGAAGTTAAATTCTAATTTTACTGAGGTAGTCATGCTCAGTAGTACCTGCTAAGGTCCCTTCCATTTAAGCTGCAACTAATCTGAAGAGGATCCTATGAATAGCCTGTTCAGGAATTCCTAACATTGGAACTTTTGTTAAAAGCTCTTTCATTCTTTGGAACACCTTTTGTAGTTGTCCTGTCCAGCACAGTGTGTCTGTTGTCAGGGCCTTTTAAAGCTCATACAAAAGCTTGGAATTCAAATCCTGGAATCCATATTCTGCAGAATCCTGTCATTCCCACAAACATCCTTAGCTGCTTTTTAGTCTGTGGTGACTATATATATACACACAGAATAGCTTCCTTTCTGTTGACTGAAAGAGCACACTTTCCTGGGGTTAGAACATATCTCAGGTAATCTACCTCTTGTTTGGAAACCTGAGCTTCTGTTTGGGAAATTCTGTACCCTTACTTTCCAGATTCTGGGTTTAGTGGGATGCAGAAGAAATTCTCCCTTAGGCAAAGGGTTAGCACACAAAAACATGCATTTAAACAACTGTCTCACTATAGTCCTGAGGCCTTGAACCATTCTGTACTCTCCATTTGACCTTGTGTTAAAACATACGAGACAGGAATATATCACAGGGAGACATGCATCCAAGAGTCCAGGTTTGAGACACTTAGTTAACTTTAAAGAAGCACCTAAGAATACAGGCAATGGAGTTTGACACTTAGACATTACTAGAACTTATGATACATAATAATATAACACACTAGAAGAAAGTAAATCTTTGAGAACAAGTTTTACCATTAATTCTTATACTGCAATTCTTTGAGGACAGAGGTCTTGCATGGGAAGTTACTACACAGTGACTCCTGTTGTTAATTTAACAACTAACACTCTTTTATGTATGACATCAGTGATCACCCGAGGCTCTTGACATGAGCTGCCTAGGCTATGGAAGCCTTTTGAATCCACAAACTTGTCAGTATTTGGACAAGGCCATAGGCAAAGTGGAAGTTCTCTCCTCCCCTCGGAGAAAGGTACATCCTTCTTTGAGGACTACCTTTTTTTGTATTTTAAATTTTTATTCACCCTCATACGGTTGCACATATAAAGTGTTGCACAGATGAAACCATTTCTGAAACTTGGTCACTCCTTTGAGCCTGGCTCAGATTATAGGTTTTTGGAGGAAAAAATAGTGGAACAATTTTAATTCTCTAAGGTTAGACTTGATCTGGAGACAGCCAAAAGCCACATTGAGTCTGGTGAAATAAGGTACATAATATCTTGAACATAATTTTTACTGAAATAAACATATAAAAGGATTGGCCTATTTTACTGTTAGAATAAGTATGGATAGCCTCACAACACGTTATATGGTTACTGGCTTTGTCTGGAGCACAAAAATAAGAATATGATTCTATGACAACAGAGGGAAAATGGGTATAGCTAGGGGAAGACTCCAGAATACTCAGCTTCTTTCGAGGCTAGGTAAATAAGGTTTCCCTCTACCTGCTATGATTTCTGAATGGCAAGCAGCTCGTGTATCATGTGTGGGTTGGTAGCCTTGCCTGACTTCAAACAAAGGATCCAGCTGTTGGGAAGCAAGAAAATCGTGCTGGATTACACAGACAACCAAAACTAATACAAACACACACAGGCTTCCTGGAATATAAATTCTTTTTGAGGTTAGAGATCTCCTTTTACAGAATTTATATAACACATTACAAAAAATCAAAGTTCTTGACTTTCCAGTATTAAACAACTAAATGTGCAAAAGAATCACCATTAAATAGGACATTAAAAGCGGTACACTGTCTATGAAACAACATGGGCACAGATTTTCAAAGCTGTGAAAATGCAATAAAGAGCACAACACATTTTGGTCACTTGATTAAATGACATTAAATAGTTTTAAGTTTCAACTACTAAACAGCATTTTGAGTGATGAAAACACAGATACTATATTGTCATACTTGAATGCTTTTCTTTAAAAACACAATTCCAGTGCTTATATAGATTACCAAACAGCCTTAAAGGAAGAAGTGACATCTTTTCTCCAGTACTTAAGATACTCAATACAGAACTGAAAAGCAGTCTAACAGAAAAAAAGGCAAGGTCTTCACAGCTGTATGCTTTCAGCAGCCAAAGCTGGATATACACTGTAACATTACTATACAACTGGGACAAAACATATGCAATATCACAATACTAAGCAAAAAACGCTTTTCACCCAAAGAAATAAAACAGGTTACAAAATGTGGAGAACTCAGCAGGCATTATAAGCAACATTGTAAATCGTCATTTTGAAGCCATTGCAACTATTTAAAACATCGAAAACAAATATAAAAATGAACCTTTTAGTATCTGCTTGATGTGACTTTGTCTTTAAATATTTGTTAAAACTTGATGTTACACACTCAAAGTACATATTATATAGCTAAGATGATGACCACTTCTTTCCACTGGAGTCTCACCCAGGGAGGTCCTCCATGTAGGAGTGTCCTGGCTTTCCATGCCTGAAATGCTCCCGTGGGCTTTTCAGCCAGCCCAGAACGCCTTTAGGGGTGACTCTGAGGTCACTGAGCGTTACTTACGAGCTGGAATTTCTGCCAGCTGTGCATTGTAACTTTACCCTCTCACCTGTCAGTTTGATCTGCCCACCTTCCCATGATGTGCCTGTATCTCACCCGGGACCAGGAAGGAGGAGATGCCATGATGGCCACATAAAAGTTAAATTCCACAGCGAGGCGCCATGAAAATCCCAAAGGGCCTTATGCATGCTAACCCTTCAGCCCCCACATCATAAAAAGACACTGATAACATGGGACGCACCCTCCTTTTCTCTTGAGCATGCTTGGGGAATCTTCTTGGGCCTTCTTTCCTTCTCTCTCCTCACAAGCCTATTCATAACAGGCGTCTCAGTGGGTGGGGTGGCCCACACTCATGTTCGTTGTCTCTCCCCATTTTAAATCCTGCTCTCACTCATGCACTGTATCATGCCTCTGCTTTGAATTCTTATCTCTGGGAGTAAGAACCTGGAATAAAGATTATGATACCTAGGTCTGTAACAGTTTGGGGGCCTCCAAACCTTCCACTATGTCTGCTGATTTCTGCTTGTGGTGGGTTGTTTCTTAGTGAGGTTTTGAAACGTTTCATTGTTAAGTTGAACAGTGGCAGGGTGTTGATTGTTCTATGTGAAGTCAATGCAACTGGGGCTTTTTGCATTTCCTTTTGCCAGGTGTATCAATTAGAGTCCAGTCTGCAGACAGAAACCACACCAGTAATTTGGATATAATTGCTACCAACAATTATTAACTAGTTAAAGGGGATCGCTAAAAGTACAAAAGAAAGCTCTACAGAACAGAGAAATAGCATTGAAGGAGCAGCTTTAGAGTTGAGGGAAAGGATCCAAGGCAGAGAAGGAACCTGAGCACTGCTCCTTCTCCTCGCCCAGGCAGAGAGAGTGCTTGCTGCCCAGGGATGGTGGCAAAGTCCTCTGAGGTACCACAGGTCACAGCTGGTATACAACTGGCAGGCCGAGGCTGCAGATCAAGCAGCTGCTCACCAGGATGTTAGTGAGCAGGGAGCTGCCTGTTTGGATGCCAAGGAAGCTCACTGGAGAGTGCATGCTGCCGGGTCTCCTGAGCACTGCTTGCAAAGGATTCTGGGGAAGACTGCTGAATGATGGGTGCCACGCAGTCTCCTTCACACCACTGGCTGTTGTACCACAGAGCCAGGAAAAGAAAATACGATGGGCCTGAAGGAGAGGCTCCTGCTCAGCTATGCTTGCACTGTTCCTCCAGCACCCTCACCTGACAAAGCGTGACATTGCGCTATCTGGCAAGAGAAATGTTTACAAGGTCCGGTATCACAAAGCACGGGGAATTTGCAGTTTTGCAACAAGAACTAGATCACAGTTCTCAAGGAAGTATCGCTGAACCAGAGCCCATTTTTCATGTTGCTTTTACAATTTTAAAAAATTTATTTGAAAGACAGAGAAAGAGAGATTAATTTTCCATTTGCTGGTTCACTCTCCCAAAAGCCCAGAACAGCCAGGGCTGTGCCAGGCTGAAGCAAGGAAACCAGAACTCCACCCTGTTCTCTCACGTGGATAGCAGGGACCTACGTGTGTGAGTCATCATCTGCGGCCTCCCAGGACACATCTTAGCAGGAAGCTGGATCCAAAGTAGAGCCAGGACTTGAACACAGGCTCTCTGATATGGGAAGCAGGCATCCCAAGCAGGGTCCTAACTCCTGCACCAAATGTTTGCCCCTTAATTTTATAGCTTGAGCTTATTAAACCACATGGGTAGTATACATTTGGACTTCAACCTCAGAAGAAGCATCTCTTTGACATTTTGATGTCTGATTTTTCAGGCGAGACTCCTTTTCCTCGACATTTCCAATATAAAAGAGAAGGCCCCACTCCTTTGTGGTACTGTTCTACAGCCATAACAATCTTTATTCAAAAATAGTTATGTTTTCATACTAAAAGAGCTATGTTACAGATAAATTCACAAACCTATCTAGAACATCTCATTGCTAACCATATCAAAGTCATTACATGGAACAAAAACCCACAGGCAGAATAACCATCTCTCAAACATAAACACAAAACCAAGAACAACCATTAAAGGAAGTTAGCAAACTCCAAAAATGGAAATAGTTACTATAGCAAACTGAAGATTTTGAAATTAAGTATAATATCTCCAAGGGAGATAATATAGGAAAGCACATGAGGGTAAAGATAAAACTAGAGCTTTTAGAAATGGAATTAAATTAAATATGTGACCAGAGCTTTACCCATGTCTTTGAAATCTGAATTCCAAGGGAAGAGGAGGAGACAAGTTATAGGTGAATAAGATGCTGTTCCCACCTTCATGTACTCATTTGCAGCCCATGGGTATGGAGAAAGCAGTATGGCATAGTTTGGAGAACAGATCTGGGCCTCAGATAGAGCTGGGGTTGATAGCGCTTGTTAGCTGGGTGCTGTTATGCAAACTGCTCAGTCTTTCTAGGCTCTGGTTTCAACAACCACAGAATGGGGACTCTAAGACCTACCTCCCTGGGTAGTTGTGAAGATTGAGATATTCTCTGTGAAACAAGATGTTGTTACTTTAGACAGAAATAATTTGCCTTGGGAGCTGACTGGTAACTTCCATTTGGTGAGAGTAGGGAAAACTTCAGGGAAGAGGTAATATATGATCTAGGACGTGGGAAACATGCTTAATATGCAGAGATGGGGAAAGAGATCCATTCCAGCTGAGTTAAGAGCATGTGGAAATGCATGGAAGTAGGAAATTAAGTGGGTCACAATGTACAGTAGACTAAAAGTAGTATTAGTAGATAAAACTTGAATGATGGCTTCGACTTGTATTTTGTAAAATAAATGAGATTTTGAACTCCCCACAAACTACTTTGATTTCCTCCTTAATTTTGCTACCCTGAATAGAGTGTTTCATATGTTTTTGTAATCTAATCTGAGGTCTGTTCATGTTTGCTTTCATGCTCACCTGGTCTCCATTATAGAAGCTACAAAGAAAGAGAGAGAGAGAGAGAGAGAGAGAGAGAGAAGAAAAAAGCCTTGACTTCCCAGCTTTCTTTGCAGTCAGTAGCAGCCATGCTTTAGTTTCTGGCTAATGAACTACATGCAGAAATCTGTTGGAACATTTCTGGGAAAGTTTTGCCTTATAATGAAAGGACAAATATCCTGTGACCATTTCTTATTCTTTACTTCATGCTATGTCTGGAGTTGCAGCAACCATCTTGTGGCTACAAAACTGTTAAATAAGATTTTGTCCAAGGTCAAGATTTGGACTGAGCACCTGCACAGACCAGATCAGTATGGAGTTTAATCAGAGCAGCTTAGCGTTGATTGGTTGCATAAGGCCCTGCAGCCAATGAACTAATCAGGCTATAAACAAGTAACTCATTAAACTGCAACTAGGTAACTGATTGATGAGACTGTAGCCATTTAAGCTGTTTTCTAAGTCTCACCTCTGTTTTTCTATAAATGCTGTCTGATCACTTTGTTGATTCTCAGAACTTGCTCTGATTCTGGGAGCTGCCCAATTCGCAAATCTTTGTTTTGCTCAAATAAACTCTACCAAATTTAATTGGTCTAAGGAATTTTCCATTTAACAAAGTTACAGAGCAGAAGATTCTGATACAGTTGAGACACTGAACTATTCCCCAGCAGCCACAAATCTCCAGACACCTTGTTAAGCAAGACAAAATGAACCCCTATCCACTGTTAGCCAGATTTCCTGTCCTGGTGGCCACAAGCATTCCTAACTAATACAATGGGAGATACCTGAACTTTGACACTTTTTGAGACATAAAACAGAACTCATTTTTACTCAGACAGGGTTTCATTTATTCTGTTTTTCTCATGTCAGAACCCACAGTCCTAATGATTTTGAAACATAATCTAGTATTTGGCTGACGTCAGCTTAGCACTGGGAGAGTCTGTAAATGGGCTGTGACAACCACATACCAGAGACAGATGGGCTAATATTCAGTGCCATGACTCATCAATAGAGGTTTCTGTGTGGTCTCTTGAATCTATTGATTATTTTGCTCTGTCTGGAAGCATGTTCTGTCGTCAAAGAGAAAAGGCTTTGACATTACATAATGACCCTACAACGTCATAGTAATTGGATGCAACATCCATAAAGAGCAAATAACTGACTGAAAAGGGAATTCAACATGACAGAGCTGTTACTTTGCTGCCAGCTATAAAACAACATAGTCTAAGTTTTCTGCAGTGAAAAAAATTTTATACCATGATTCCAGGAGATGATGAATGATTAACCCAATATCAAATTTCAGGGTACAGATTCATTCACATGTATTTTTTATATCTTGGTGACCTTCACAGTTGAATAGCTTAGATTCAATATAGTCTAAGTTCCAATGGAGGAAATACATTTCCAGTTGTTTTGTTTGGCAAAAAAATAAAACTTTGAAAAATTAAGACAACATATGTAAACAAAATTACTGAAGAACTGAATTCATAATATTTGGCAATCTTTGAATCCTTAGTTTAATGAATATTTCTTTAAGATTTATTTGAAAGGCAGAGATAGAAGGAAAGAGAGAGAGAGAGAGAGAGAATGTTTGATCTTCCATTCACTGGTTCACTCCCCAAATGGCCACCATGGGCTGAAGCCAGGAGCCAGGCACTTCCTCTGGTTCAAGTTTCAGCTCCCTGCTAATGCACCTGAGAAAGCAGCAGAGGATGGCCCAAGTCCTTGGGCCCCTGCACCCACATAATAGATCTGGATTAAGTTCCTGGCTCCCAGCTTCCACCCTAGCTCAGGGCACTGTGGGCACTCAGGGAACACTCTCTCTCTCTCTCTCAAATAAATAAAAGAACAACAACAATAATAAAGAAAACCACAAAAATCTCTACAGCCTTCAGACCTTGGCTGCAGATTCTTTCCCATCTTCACAATTGTGACAGACTTATATAGCAGAGGCAGGAAGTATATGCACTAAGAACATCCTCAGCTGTGTCTTCAAAGTTTTCCCACAAATGTTGGTTCAAAAGTTAGTCAAGGAAGCAGGTGCTTGCCCCAGCCAGGAAGACATCTGTGTCCCACATCAGAGTGGATTCCCAGCTCTGGCACCTGTCTCCAGCTTCCTGCTAATGCAGACCCTGGGAAGCAGTGGTGATGGTTTAAGTAATTTGGTTCCTACTACCCATGTGGGAGACCTGTTTTAAATTTATGGCTCCTGGCTTTAGCCCGGTCCCAGCTCTAGCTGTTGCACAAATCTGGGGAGTGAACCAGATAATAGGCGCTCACCCTCTCTGCTTCTCAAATAAAAGTACATATAAAAGTAGTTTAAAGGATAAATAAAAGTCAATGTATTTCTGTCTTGGTAATATGACTGAACACTTTTGGCTGATGCGTTGTTAATCAGCACTAGCAAAATAGAAGACAGTGGAATCTTCTCTTGGGGGATAGCACAATTAATTTATAAGGACACAAAATTACATTGGGAGTAAGAACATATAAACAGTAAAGACATCAAGAAACTCCCAATATATTTTGATTTTATCTGTTAAGAGTATACTGAGGTTGTCCCTGATTGACAATATTTTTTTTATTGAGGAAAAATTCACAGAAAATTAACTAAAGTATAGAATTCAGTGGCATTTAGTATATTAACAATGTTGTGAATGGTGTAAATTTTTTTTAAGTCTACAGTTTTTCCTAATACATTATTTTCCTTTTGAAGACCTCTTAGATAGTCTGCATACTAGACCCTTATAAGATACGTGGTTTACATTTTCTTATATCCTATAAGCTGTTTTCTTTCACTTTGCAGTGTCCTTTGGTGTACAAAAGTTCCTAGTTTTAATGTCTGATTTATGGGGCTGGCACTGTGGCATAGCAGGTAAAGCCGCCACCTGCAGTGCCAGCATTCCATATGGGTGCTGGTTTTGAGCCCCAGCTGCTCCACTTCTGATCCAGCACTCTGCCATGGCCTGGGAAAGCAGTAGAAGATGGTCCAAGTCCTTGGGCCCCTGTACCTACACGGGAGACCCAGAGGAAGCTCCTGACTCCTGGCTTCGGATTGGCACAGCTTCAGCTGTTGCGGACAATTGGGGAGTAAACCAGTGGATAGAAGACTCTCTCTCTCTGCCTCTCCTTCTCTCTGTGTAACTCTGACTTTCAAATAAATAAATAAATATTTTTTTAGAAAAAGTCTGATTTCTTTTTCTTTTACTGCTAAACTTTTGGTGTCATATCTAAGAATCTGTTCCCAAATCCAAGACGCTCTTGTATTTTCTTTGAAAACTGTGGGAAAGGCCTAATTTCTTTTAAATGTGGATATCCAATTGGCTATCACATTTCTCTCCTCATCAAATGGTCTTGGCACCCTAGTCAATTGGCCATAGAATATGGGATCATTTCTGGACTCCAGGTTCTGTGTCATTGATCTATATTTGTATGTTACTGTTTGCCTGTTCAGTGACATTTCAAAATGAGTTTCTCATTAACGTCTGTTTTGTCACATGTAGCCACTGAAGTCTCTGTTGAGTCTGCTTACTAGTCAGTTTTGACAGTGTTTTCTGAAACACCTAGAAGCAAAAACAGGAGGAAGAGGAGGAGGTGGAAAAAGAAAAAAATCACCTCTCTCCACCTTTACAGGTTGGCTGTTTGGGGTACTCCTTCAGTGCTTGGCCAGACCATTGACAACTCTGCCTTAACTTTCACATCCTACTTGTGTGGCGCCTGAAGGCGAGTCAGCGGTGAAAGCTTTGGGTCTTTTCAGGTCGTTTCTGAACATGTATCTAGCTCTGCACATGAATGTGGCCGAGGTACACACAGGAGCTTTAAAAGCCCCCTTTCCCCCTCACATCTCCTTTGCCAATCTCATCCTTCCCAGGATTGTTGGTCTATTTGCTGTCCTGTTATTTCTTGCCCTAGACTGTGATAGCCAATACTTGTGCCTTTGAATATTTTTGGCAAAAGCTGCTCAGAAAACTACCTGAGTCCTGGGAACACTCTGAATTGAGTGAAACAAAGGTGAGCCTGTGCCAGTCCTTTAAGGAGCTGCTGGACAAGCTGGAACCCATGACCCACAAGTGATTGAGAATATGGTCCCTGCTGCTCTGCTTGGCACCAGCAACTGCGCCAGGCGTGCGGATGGCTGTCCTCGCCACAGGTGGGGGGGGGGGGGGGGGGGGGTGGGGAACTGTTGGTGGCGCTCTCTTACCTTAGAGCAGCAGCTTGTCCTCACTAGGCCTTCCCCTGATTGCTGTGGTTGCCTAGATTCCAGAGCCCTGCAGAAGTTGATTGTGACAGGTTTAGGCATTAGTTGCTTTTGTGGAGGGACAGAGTACCTGATGCTGCAATTTTAGCTGATGTCATCTTTAATATACTTTAGTTTGAATGTGTTTGGACATAAATATGTGGCTATGTAAAGTCAATAAAATGAAAAGCTCTGACTTTAATTTTAAAAGCCTTAGTATATTAAATGTGCATTAGTTGAAGTTCCAGTTTTAATAATTTCCTTAAGAAACAAATCATATCCATTTTCTTGTATACACATTTGTATTTTATGTAATTATTATATATGTACACTTTTGAAATTTTTATTTATTTGAGAGACAGTGAGTGAGGCAGAGAGGCAGAGAGAGAGAACAGGGCAGGGGGTGGGGTCCTATCTGCTGGCCCACTCTCCAAATGCCTGCAATGGCCAGGGCTGGAGCCAGAAGGCAGGACTGCCAGCCAGGTCTTGTATATGAATGGCAGGAATCCAGCTCCTGGCCATTACTGCTGCTTTCTAGAGTTTGCACTGGGCAGGGAGCTGAAGTCAGGAGTTACAGCAAGGAACTGAACCCAGGTACTCCGACATGGGAAGACAGACTTCTACCCTATGAGTCTACCCTAATGATCTCCAGCCACGCCTTTGTTTTTCCCCACTGGCCCTCATTGCCTTCACCTGATGGTGGCAGCCAGGCAACAGGGGCAAGGTGACTACAACCTTTGGCTTCTGAAACCACTTGGTTTCAGTAGTTGGGAAGGGAAGAAAGCTGACCATGAGGACAATAATCAATTGGAGACATTCAAGAACCCTTAGAGGGTTCCTAGGGTGGCCTGCTGGGGCAGTGTTAGAGAACATCATGGCTGCCGAAGGTTTTGCCACTGTGCCCAGTCCCCATGAACTCTCGCCCACCTGAAATGGAAGAAGGCCTGGGTAGTGGTGAAGGGAGAAACAGTGGCTACTGACAGAATCAGTGGACTTTGTGCTGGATTGGAAGAGGAGCAGCCGGGACTAGAACCCATGTGAGCACCAGTTCTAGTCCCGGCTGCTCCTCTTCCAATCCAGCTCTCTGCTGTGGCCTGAGAAAGCAGTAGAAGATGGCCCAATTCGTTGGGCCCCTGCACCCGCATGGGAGACCAGGAAGAAGTACCTGGCTCCTGGCTCCTGGGTTCGGATTGGCACAGCTCAAGCCGTTGCGGCCATTTGGGGAGTGAACCAATGGAAGACCTTTCTTTCTGTCTCTCCCTCTTACTGTCTGTAACTCTACCTCCCAAATAAATAAATAAAAATCTTAAAAATAAAAAAGTTCCATGGAAATATTATCAAGCCCAGAAACCAAAATGGTTAAAACCTTTGACACTTTCATCTTTGAAGTTTTAAGTATTTCTTTAAAAAAAATTTATTTATTTATTTGAAAGGCAGAGTGATGAAGAAAGTTGATTGGTTATTAGGTGAATAAATAAATATGAGACTTAGAGCTTTGAAATGATAATAATGTGAAGATAATAATGTGAAGATAATCACTTATTGTTTTAAACTCTTTGCAAATGTTAACTCATTTATTCTTCACAATCATTCTGAGATGAATACTATCATAGTTGAAGAAAATGAGGCCCAGAGAACTTACTGAAGAGAGTTGATAGCGCCCAGTAGAGCTAGAATTTCAATCTAAACAGTCTGATTTCAGAGGCTGTGCTATGGGGGAAAACAAAAAGAGATGATTAATATTGTGGTTAAAAACAATGTTTTTTTTTTTCTTTCCTTTGTCAAACCATTTCGTTTTGTTCCTAGGCAGAAAGAAAATGGTATTTCCCAGCTCTCTGGTCTTTAAATAGGCAGTGTGACTAATCTGGCTAATGGAATATTGGCAGATATAAAAAAATCTCAGAGTGCTGGCTTTCCAAGCGGAAGGAGCTTGGATCTCTGAGTTACTACTACAGAGGAGAATAGCCCCATCCCCAGTCAGATATAGCTTTAGGAATTCTGTGGGCAACAGAAATAAAAACTCTTACTGTCTTAAGTCACTGAGATGTTAGAGTTTGTTATGGTAAGCTGGTGGATATTATACTAACAGAAATATATTAAATATTTTTAAATCATGAAATATTTCAAAAATTGCTAACATGCATATCTGTATTCCCAGATTTCAAAGATATTAATATTGTTGCATTTTCTTTAGGTATTTCTTCAAGAAATTTATAATAACTAATAACCAACAAAGCATCACCTCGTCCTTGACCCCACCCTAGAAGGAACTACCGTCCTGAAAGCTGTGGATCTCAACCTCAGTTGCATTTTTACTTTTACTATAATAAATTTAAAATGGATAGAAATGTAGCAGAATGTTGCTTTTTTCAATTTGTATTGCGATGTATATGTGTTGGCACATATAGCTCTAATTAATTTGAATAGTTATGTAGAAATACAGTAATTTGCTTATCCATTCTCCTACTTGGGAGACACTTAAGATTGTTCTTATTTTTTTTGCTTCTACAAGCAATGCTGCAATGAACTTCCTTGTACATGCTGAATATAACACAGTCAGGAAGGCCTCTCTGAGGATTTTCTCATTTCAGCTGAGCCCTGAAGAAGAAGCCAGCCAAGAGCCAGGAAACAAGTATTTCAAGTACCTAGAAACAGTGGACAAATCACAGGGTGGGAAGGAATGGCACGGACTAGACCCAGAGAGCTACCGTGTAAGTGAGGGAAAGAGTGGGAGGAGATGGAGTAGATGAAGAAGCAGGCAAGGGCTACAGTGCTCAAGTCTGTAGAGGCCACAGTGAAATGTCTGGGTTTATTCTAAATGCCACGCTGTTCAAGTGTTTTCATTTTTTCCAGGTTGGAGAAACCATGCCCACAACATTGCCAGTTCCTTCCCTCAGTGTCACTATGAACGTCTCTTCTGTTGAATGAATGCAGTCACTGCTTTTGCTCTCCATTTTGGAGGAACTGATGGCAAGAGCTTACAAAAAGTTTCAGTTCCTTTCCTGCTCTTTTTGGGTCTGAGGGACAGCTGTATACTTAAAAATGAAACCAGATGTATCACGTTTTTCCATCAAAGGGACTTAAAAGGAAATACCCATTTATTCTCCATATTTTGTAATCAATTTGTTGCTTCTTTTGACAAAATCAGATTGACTTCATAAATGATCTAAAGCATTTGGGTTGGGGCCAGTGTTGTGGTACAGGGGGTCAAGCTGCTGATTAGGACACCCACATCCAATGTCAGAGTGCTGGTTCCAGTCCTGCCTACTCTGCTCTCATTCCAGCTTCCTGCTAAAGCACTTGGAAAAGCAGCAGATGATGGACCCAAGGACTGGGGTCCCTGTGACCCACTAGAAAACCTCGATGGAGTTCTGGGCTCCTGGCTTCAGCCTGACCCAGCCCCTACTGTTGAGGGTATTTGGTGAGTGAACTAGCAGATGGAAGATCTCTATCCTTCTCTCTACCCCTCTGTCACTCTGCTTTTCGAATAAATAAATGTTCTTAAAAACTTCAATAAGACAAGTCAAGGCAATTGCTAAAAATTCTGATTCTAGTTAACCTAAAAAAAATTGTTCCCGGAGCGGGGCGGGGCGCATGAGGGGGGTGGCCGCCTTTGGAGGTGGCATATAATAAATAAGAATAAAAAAAAATTGTTCCCTATGCAAGTTAAAAACCACAATAAGATATAACCTCGCACCTGTTAGAATACCTATTTATCAAAAAGACAAAACAAGAGTTGAGTGTGTGGAGAAAAGGGAACCACTGCACATGTTTGGTGAGAATGCAAATTAGTACAGCCATTTTGGAAAGCAGTATAGAGGTTCTTCAAAAAATTAAAAGTAGAATTATTGCATGATCCAGTAATTCCATTTCTAGGTATAGATACAATGGAATTGAGATCGTGTTGGCAAGAAATTCCCATGTGTATCCCAGCATTATTCACAACAGCTAAGATATAGTAGTAACCTAAGAGCTCATCAACAGATGAATGGATTAAGAAAGGTGGCATACAAATATATACACAATGGACTACTATTCAGCCTTATGAAAGATGGAAATTCTATCATTTGAGACAATATGGATGAATCTGAAGGACACTATTTTAAGTAAAATGAGCCAGGCACAGAAAGAGAAGTACCACATGATCCCACTTACACGTGGAATGTAGAGAAGTTGAACTTGGGGTCAGAGTTGTGGCATAACAGGTTAAGCCACACTAATTTGAGTGCCTGCTGCTCTGCTTTGGATCCAGCACCCTGTTAATAACCTGGGAAGGCAGTAGAGGATGGCCCAAGTGTTTGGGCCCCTGTACCCAGATGTGAGACCAGGATGAAGCTCCTGGGTTCCGGCTTTGGCCTGGCCCAGCATCAGCCATTGCAGCCATCTGGGGGAGTGAACCAGTGGATGGAAGATCGATCTCTGTCTCCCTGTCTTTCTGTAACTGACTTTCAAAATAAATAAATAAATCTTTAAAAGAAAAAAAAAAAACAACAAAGAAATAAGGATGGGAGATAATGAATTATTAGCCTGATTTGCACATTTCACAACGCAGACATGTGCTGAAATATCATTTGTACCCTGTAAATAACTGTATATACAATTATCAATGGTCATTTACAAATTTCAAAAAAATTCCTTTCTGCTCCCTGAGGTAGCTGACATAGGAATTAATGACAGTCTGCCTCCCAGCAGCGTCCCTGCAGGAGGTATACATAAACCCAATGATGGTATTATGTGTAAATGTGCTTTAGGATCACAAAGGAGGGGAAAATGTTTAGACCCTGGAGGTCACACCTTCGGAACACCGGTGAAAAGCTTTAAAAAACAAGTCATTCTAACTGGCCAAAGGGAGTATCCTAGCCTTAAGGGAACAGCCGGAGCACCTCTACCACCTGCGAGGGACGAAATTGGGAAAAACAGGCTGGGAACATCGGCTGCACACTGGAAGCACCCAGGAACCAAGCCCAGACTTCTCCCCAGATCAATTGTCTCAAGCTATGCGCAGTGGGACTCACAGGCCTATCCGTTATGAAATCGCCTGAGGGCTTAAGAAGTGCAAGGCTAAGTTAAGGATCAGCGTTTTAAAAGAGGAGCAAAATACCAAACGTGGTTTGTGTGTTTTGGTTTTTTTTTTTTTTTTTTTTGGAGGGGGAGGGAACTAACTGAAGGCAGGCAGAGAAAGCCCTCAAAGGACAGGGCGGCTACTCTAAGAGCAGAGACAAAAACTGAGTGCAAGTCTGCAGGCGAGGATTTAAGGGCTGTTTCTGTGTTGTACTGACCGGATTTGGGGGATGGTAACGGACTCAGCAAACACCCAGCTCAATCGAAAGTTCAGTTATTCTGCCGGCAGCTCAGTCCCTACGCCCAATCATATTTTCTCTCCCATTTTCCCACAGCTTAAAAAAAAAAAATAAAAAAGGGACGGGAACGTCCTCCCACGCAAAACGCCTAGGCCGTCTATGGGAGGAGCAAAGTCTTGAGAAATCCCAAGCGCCCGGTCCCGACGATTTCTCCACGATTCCAGAAGCGTAACTCACGAACACCCAGGCAAGGCCCCCTCCATGGGGGTAAAGTGCCCCACTTAGAGAGCGCTGATCCATTCCTTAAGGCAACTTGTGACCTTTACAACGCCTGGGGCTGCTGCGGCGGCGACAGCCCGGGCGGGGCCACGAGTGACGTTTACGGTGACGAGACCGGCTGAGTCCTCATCCCGCTTCCGGCAGCGCGCGAAGCTCTCTTCCGCCTTTTCACCCACGCACCGGCTCCGCCCCACTCCCACGCGCCTCACCGGCTCCCGCCGGGTCCCGCACACGCTACGGCGCGAGACTGCCGGGAGAACCGGCTCAGGTTGCTCTCGGCAGGCTTCCTGCGGGTTGCCCTTCCGCCCCGCCCTTCGACTTCCGGTCTCGGCCGTCAACATGGACGCCACGGCTGCCAGGCATAGCTGCCTCTGAGCAGTCGCGGAGGCGCAGCTTCCCGGCTGCCGCCGCCCTGCTTCCCCGCCCTCCTTGCCTCCCCCGCCCCTCGCTTCTCTCCCTGGGGCCAGCAGCTCGTCGCTACATGGGGGCGGGCCTCTGCGGGCGGAGCACGGCTTCCTGTTCAGAGGCTTCCCGGCGGTAGGCGGCGGCTGCTCTGCCCGCGCCCGCCTAGGCGCGGTGACCGAGTGCCCGGGAGGCTCCAGGGCCACATCTTGCGCCGCTGCGCCGAGCCGATCCCTGTGCCGCCATGGCCCCAGTACAGCTGGAGAACCATCAGCTGGTCCCGCCTGGAGGCGGCGGCGGCGGCGGCGGCGGCCCGGCTTCAGCCCCAGCACCTCCTCCCCCTGGAGCCGCCGTGGCGGCTGCCGCTGCGGCTGCGGCTAGCCCTGGCTATCGACTGAGCACTCTCATCGAATTTCTGCTCCACCGGGCCTACTCAGAGCTCATGGTGTTAACGGACCTGTAAGTGCCGCGAAACCCCTGCTTGCTTCCCAGCCCTCTCTTCCCGCCCAACTGATTGAGAGAGGTTTGCGCCTCCCTCTCGCCAAAGGGCTACCGTGTGTCTCCCCGGCGCTGCTTAGTGTAGAATTTCTGAACTCGAGGGGTTCGTTCAGTGGAGGTGGCTGAAAAGCTTTGTATTGCGGGGGGGGGGGGGAGTCTTTCTGCAGATCAGGCAACGGAGACTCGTTAATTTTGCGTGTTGTTAACACTTAGACTGAAAATTGTCTTTGGGATTTTTGTCCGAGTTGGAAGCTTTTTAAGCCTAAAGCACAAGATTAGAGTTCAGGGTTTAAGCAATTAAAAAAAAAAATCCCAAAGACAGGCAGTCTGTTTTACAGCCTCTTGACAATACGTTTCAAATGTAGACTGTAATTGCTTGTAAGTTTGAACGCAGGAGGTTGTATATGAAATAACATTTTGGGTTCCAAATAACTTTTTTTTTTTCTGGAAGGTTTTGAGTGTTGGAAGTCCTCATGAGTTTAGTGTGTGTACAATATTTTTTGTAGCCAATCTGCTGTTACTTCTTGGAAAATGAAGGGAATTTGTAAATCACCTAGTTACCTATGAAGTGCCTTGGGGCATGATTAGGGTGGTAATCCCTCCAGAATAGGATCAGAATATACTAATGATTTTCAATGTACGAAGAAAAGGCACTGTAAAATTTGGGGGCTCTGTTTTGCATCTTATAACCCAGGTTCAGAATTTTTAATCTAGATGACTTTTTATCTCATCTATTCTAAGATTACAGATAAGGGGGTTTTACTGAAATACATAAGTATGTAGATACTAGACTGTACAGTGTACAGTAATTGGTTACTAGAGGCTTAACATATTTGTTTGCAGATGCCTAAAAGAATTAAAATAGGTTCCATTTCTGTAAAACGTTCACACTGAGTTTTGATGTACTGTACTTTATTGCATGGGACAGAAGGAGGTAAAGAAACATACCGCTCTGGCTAGTGAGAAGTGTAAATAGTTGTCATTGTTGAAATGATTTTAGTGATACACATCTCTGTATGGCTAATTGTTGGGCTTGTAAAAACCTAAGTGTCCATGAGCTGGTTCCAGGCGCGTGAAGGTCACTTGCCCTGGATATAGCTGTGTGAAAAGCATGTTGAGAACTGCTGCAGTTAGTGGTTGTGTAATTAGTTTTTCCATGCAAGATTTGTAGAAATTCCTTGAATTATATCGTGTTCTTTTCTTTAGGACTTGCTTATGAAGGGAGAAACGTCTGTTTTATTGTCATGGAAAAAGTATTATAATTCCATGTCCTTTCTATGATTGTGATTCCTATATATAACATAGGGATATATAACACACTTCACATACTTTTAAAATGTTAATGGAAAATTAGAAGAGAAGTTGATTTTGGTGCAAGAAATTTTGAAATCCATACAGTGACTGCTTTTATTTGCCATTTCCTAATAGGGCCTTAATTTCTGCTACATTCCTCTGGTCTGCTGACCCTTCCACCCCCTACCTAATTCTTTTATCACTGTGATCATAACTTCAGCTTCCATGCCACCATCTTCCTTAAGAAGAGCAAGAGCTCATTTTGATAGTTTCCCCGTTGGTATCTTGAACCTCTGGAAGTGGTAGTGGTTTTAGTTTTTCTGTCTCTGCAGCACATGGGTTGGAGAAGAGGATCCAAGCAGCTGAGCATATATTCTTTAAGAAGTGATGGGGGAGAGGCATGAATGAGAGTTGTTCAGGCCATCTAAATTTAGACCATGGAATAGAAGTTAACAGATTGTGGCGATTTAAGAGATAGATCAGACCTTTCTAAGCATCAGTGGGTGAAGAGTGTTAGCATTAGTGTTAAGGAACAAATTGACACTGGTTGCTGGCTATCAATACTGGAGAACTAGCAAAAAGAAAATAAAACCTTCCTGGAGCTGTTTAAAAGTAATGCAGGGGTGGGTGTTCAGCTTAGCAGTTAAAAGATGCTCACTTCCCACATCGTAGTGCCTGGGTTCAGTTCCCAACTCCAGCTTCCTGCCAGTGCAGAGCCTAGGAGGCAGCAGTGATGGCTCAAGTAATTGGGTTCCTGCCTCCCACATGGGAGACCTGGATTGAGTTTCCTAGCTCCCAGCTTTCAGCCCTGGCCATTGCAAGCATTTAGGGAGTGAACCAGCAGATGGAAGCTGTATCCTTGTCTGTCAAATAATAAGTTAAAATTTAAAAATAATGCGTCTTTCCTTGTTAACCACCATGCAAATCATAATTGCTGTAAAAACCCTTGAGTGACACTGGCCCTTTTGTGTGATTAGCTTCCAGTTTTGCCCACCGTAACAAAATGTAGAAGGTTTGTTGCTTGGAAACAAGGTATTCATTGGATAAGGGGGAGGCTGGCAACATAGTACTCCTTTTAAGACCAAAAGGATGTGATACACTGTGATACACAGTATAATGTGATACTCTGTGTTACAGTGTGTTGATGTGAGACTTGGGCTTTTTAAATGTTTGTGGTTCATGCAATACCTTTTGAAGCAATTTTGAATCGAGAGAAATGTTCTTTTGTTGATTTTCCCCTTACAGCCGTTTTGCTGGAAACTCATAAAGTAGGTAGCATCCTGTAGTAGGCATTTACTCAGCTTTTCTGAAACACTAAGGTATTTAAGAGAGGCAAAGTGAAGACCATTATCACATTTTGATGAAAGCATGCATATATTTAATCAATTTATTGTTTTTTTTTCTTCTTAGATTGCCAAGGAAATCTGATGTGGAGAGGTATGAAAAAGCCTTAAATCTGTCTTTATTGGTCTATCTTTGAGTGTTAGTGTGTGAGTATGGGTAATGTGGGCTAGTTTTTTTTTTTTTTTTTTTTAATGCTGTGTGTTCAGGGAGCAGTGGGAAATGCAGTTAATTCGTTCTTGACAATACTGTGGTGTGAGACCAATTCTAGACCTTCTATTCAGTAAACTTTTGTTGAGTGACTAACTACGTCAAACTGAGAAGGATAGGAAAATATATGAAGTCCATAGTGGAAGAAGCTGAGGAGCAGGCTGGCTTTCAAAAGTTGGTCACTAATTTACCATCTATTATAATAATGCTAACAAATATTTTTAGAGGGTTGGCATTTGCCTACTGCTGTTGCTGTTTTACAGTTGGGGAAATTTTGGTTCAGTTGGAGTTTGAGGCCTAAGACTTAACTAATCTCTGGTATGATTCTGTAGGCCAAAGGAACAAATTAAAATAAGGTTTCAAAGAAATCATGTGAGGGGGATTTAAATTAATAACTACTACAGGCTACTTGACTGTTGTTGACACTACTTAGTGCCCTTGATTTTTTTTTTTTTAATACCAAGTCACTAGGAAGGCTTTTAGTATTATTAGTGGCTACATTCCAACCAACCCTGAGTGACCTTTTTGATAGAAGTAGTCATAAGTCAAGAAAGTTAGAGATGGAAGATGTCATTGAACTATGCTTGTGTTATGATATGGCTGGTCAGTTTTAAAGAGAGGAAGCATAACTTGTTTTATGTCCACTTTGGGGTAGGAAGGGAAACTGGGCTTCTGGGAAAACCAACTCACGTTCCCTTTCACTTGAGCCAGCATGGTGTCAGGAAACCATGTTACAGTAGTTTCCAGAGGGATGTCTCATTTCTAGTAGAGGAGTGCGTTGGCAAAACCAGATAGATAACACATAGGTCTGTTTGCTTTGGGAGAGGAGCAGAGACCTTGCATCCTTTGTTAACCATTGCTGAGTTAGAGTACTAAGATTCTTAGCTCGGAGGTGACTGCTAGATGTTAATATTCATTTTAGCATTTCTGGTGTGTCTCAGTCTTGCCCGTGATACACTTTTTTATCTCTTATGACTCTTCAGGGATATTGGCACAGTCATATTTTGCCCCTAATCCTTCTCTTTATAGTGCCCCTCGTCACATTGCTGGCTGTTGTTTAAGGAAGCACTTCAGGTTGTTTGTGGGCTACTTACACTCTCAATAGGAATTAGACTGTAGCCGTCAGTCAGGATTGTACTTCAGCAAGAACTTTTATTTTGCTGCATTGTATTCTGGTGGTATTGGCGAGATAGAGTTGTGGGTTGGATCAATAGGTCACTGAACAGCTGTACTGAGATTAATAGGTCATAGTCCATGTAGAGGGAAGTGGGTGTCCTGTCATCAGTCCTGGCCTGGTGAATATTTTTTTCAGTGACTTAAGGTAAGCCATGAGTTGTATGATTATCAGTTTTTTAGCTGCTATGAAGTTGAGAAGTCCAGCTGAAACACTGGTTGACAGCCTAAAGCTTTAATAACGCTTTTAAGACTTTATGAGGAAAGGATAAAAATACTGGTGAGTATTAGGAAAAAAGGCATAGTAGTGGGAATAGCACAAAAATAGAAATGGACAGAATTTCTATCTTTGATTTGTAGAGCTTCAACATGCTATCTTTAACTTGGATAAGCTAGAGTATCCAGGTTTGTCATCAGAATTAGTCA